GGGGGCGCGCGTGGGGCCGGCTGCGGGGGGGTTGGGGGGGGTGGGCACCCCCCCCCCGGCTGCTGAATGTGGATGGGCTGCAGGGCGGGCGCTGCCGGCGCCAGGGCCGCCGAGGCGGGAAAAGCCTTGACTTGCTTTGCCAGAAGTTGCTGCTGAATGTGCTGCTGAGCAGCTTGCTGCAGCTTACTGTATTTCTCCATTTCTTCGGGTGTAAAAGTGATCGGCTGGCTCTCGAGCGGTGCTAGAGAGGAGTCCTCTCCTCCTTCCCGATCCCCTTCGATGCTCGGCTCCCCGCTCTGAGGCACGTAGCCAGGAAAGTGCTCGACATCTGGAACTAAGGGCATCATACTGGTTTCCACTGGGACAGGCTGGTTGCCCCCATCCATAGATTCTAGCCCATCGCCATCGCTCGGATCCGAGAGGAAGTTGTGCGGCATGACCAGATCTCCAGAACCGAAGCACTCGGGGAGTGCCGGTGCTTCGAGGGGAATGGAGGGCATTTCCACAGCAGGTTCGTCGCGTTTCTGCTCATCCAGAGGTTTGTCCTGAATTACCATCACCACTTCTTCCAGGAGAGACTGGCCGCCCAACTGAGCCTCCTCAATGCCTTGGGAAACATCCTCGGAATCCGACAGCTCTTGCTCCTCGCCCCTCTCCAAGCCAGACTCTTCGTATCTTTTGGCGTTTGGTTTTCGAACGGTTGGCAATTTCCCAATTAAGGGGAGAACCGGTTTGTTGCCTAAGGAAGGAGGAAGTTTTGGGCCAAAGTAGCCCTGGGGAGGATCTTTGAGCTTTATGCCCACCTTGTTTGCCCCTGCCAGCATCTCGTCAGCGACGCAGGGCTTCTTCTCAACCTTCCTGGATTGAATCTTTTCCAGGAGAAGTTTTGCAGTGACGGAGTTTCTCTCCTCCGGACTGCAGTCACCTTCTGAGGCTCTCCCCATGCCAGAGCCGCTGCTGTTTTGGGAGAGCGAGCCAGATCCTTTCAGATCCTCTCCTTTGCCATCCTCTTTCTTCAGCGACAATCCTTCACTTCGGCCTGTCCGGAAATAGTGAGGAGACTGCGAGCGATAGATTTTGGACCTGATGAAGTCTCTTCTCCCACACCTCCTCTCCTCAGGGCTCTCGTGGCCTCGAGAGCCCTTTCGCGAGAGAGACCTCTGCGAGTGGCTTCTTGTACTGCGGCTGCGATCCCTGCTATAGCTGCGGCTCCGTTTCCAGCTGCGACCCGTTACGCTTCGGCTTCTCCTCTTGCTTCGCCTGCGGCTGCAGCTGCTGCTGCGTGTTCTGCCCCGGCTCCTTGTTCTTGACCTACCTCGAGGGTGGGTTCGGCTCCTGCTTTGACTCCTCGACCTGCTCCTACTCGAGCTGTAGTCGTCTTCAGAAGAGGAGTACTTGCGCCGCTTTGATCTGTGATTTGAGCTGTTGTAGTCGGAGTCATCCTCCGAGTCGTGGGACCGCTTTGAATGGCACCTTGACCGGTCGCTGTAATCGCTGTAGCTATCATCCGAGTAACTTCTCCGATGGCTGTACCGGCTGTGGTCCGAGGAGGCGTCGGAGCTGGTGGAATAGGACCTGCGAGAGGAGTGCCTCCGCCCCGACCTGGAGCGGCTCCTGGAGTGGTCGCTGCCGGAGTCATAGTCGTCACTGTATTGCGACGGGGATTTCTGCCGGCAGTGCTTCCTGTGGGAGCCCTCGTCGCTGTCGTAGTCCCCGCTGCTCTGCCGGCTCCGGCGGTTGGCCCTGCCCAGGGAAGGAGCCAAACACCGTCTCCTCGAAGCAGGTAACTGCTGCAGATCAGCCTTGTGTTTTTTGCTGCTGTGCTCTTGGCAGGAGTTACCACCATCCTCTTTTTTACCGCTGCTTCCCTCTTCGGCAGACAAAGACTTCCTCTGGGACTCCTGCGAGCACCGCTTTTTCTTCTGGAAATGGCTACACTCTTCAGACAGTTCAGTTTTTAGCGCTCGTTCTGATTCAGTAGAAAGAGAAGATTTGCCTTTTTTGTGCCTGTGTCTTTTCCGTTTCTTGGGTTTCTCTTCCCCCAGGTCATTTTTTCGGCTCTTCTCATCAGCTTCCTCCTTGTGTTTACGTTTGTGTTTGCTGGACTTTTTGTGCTTCTTTTTCTTTTTATGTTTATGGGATCTCCCAGATTTATTCTTACCAGTTATGCTTTTACTACTGTCCTCTCCCTCTCCCTTACTAACGCTTGTCAAACCGGACTCTTGCTTGTTCTGCGAGCCACCGCTGGACAGAGATTTGTTTTCCGTTTTTAGAGCAGAACTGTTAGCTGCGCTTTCTGCCTCCTTGGGTTTGCTTATCTCGCCAGATTCTGTGCTCAGAACGTTTTCTTTACAAAGACCCCCTGGATCCTTAGATTTCTCTGTCCCTTTACCTTTAGCATCTTTGTTGCGAGAAAGCTTGAAATCAAAATACAGGGGGTTACAACTGTATGAAACAGACGGTTCTGCTTTGGTAAATATGAGAAGCTCTGAAGGCCACTGGAGAGTCGTGCTCTCATCTTTACTCAGAACGGGAAAAAAAGGTCCTGTCGGATGCTTTGGTCCTTCAGTGACGTCTTTACAGCCTGGGACAGGCTGAGCGACTTCTTTAGTAGTGTCTGGCTCGGGGAGATTGCTCTCTGTAAGATGCTTGCTCTCCTGCATACTCGCATTTTCTGGGACTTCTTTTAGTTCTGTTTTGCTCTGCTGAGCTGCGGTTTCAGTAGTACTCTGCTCCTTCTGCTGCCCCGTGCTCTCAGCAGCCTTCTCCGTGTGCTTGCCGGGTTTGGGTTTTGGAGAACTCCCCTTTTTAACTTCATGTGTGTTTTTTTTGTTCACATTTTCAGCTTCCATTTGTTCGGTAGACTTCATGAAAAGCAGGAATTGAAAATTAGGCTTTACTTTACAATGGGCTGGAGGAATATAGTGGTAGTATTCTGGTTCCACTGCCATTGGTCCATCTTCTCGTCTCATCTTTTTTAGTTTAGATAATGTAGTGGCTAGAGACCCACTATCTTTTTCATGTTGGTCATCTTCCTCCGTCTTGCCGTCAGAATTATTTGTGCTTTCGCCCTCGCCAGATTTCTGCAGGCTCCCTGCATCTGAGGACCCTCTCTCATCAGCTTTTGCTCCATCTACAGAACTTGATTCTTCCACGTGGTCCTTGAAAACGGAAGCTATGGTCTCAAGCTTTACCGGAGTCTTCTTGGCAAACGAAAACGACACGCCTATCTTCTGCAGTGGAGTTCCCAAAGTACTCTTAATGCCAAAGCTGATTGCTTGCGCTGTCTGGATGGGCATCTGGCTCGGCATAACAGTGCCACCGACTTGTCCAGTGTTTAGGAAACCTCTGTCCATAGTCATCTCTGGAGCTTGGCCAGAAGCCGTCTGGATGAAAGAACCACTGTGGGCTGCAGAATCGTCGTCATCTCCACCTTCCTCGTCCACAGCCACTGTGGTGGTTCTGAACATGGGTCCGCTTCCAGGAGCGCTGTATGAACAAGTTAAAATAGAAAAAACAGCTGACTGCCAGTTGTATACCTCTGCAGTTGGTTTCATGCCTGACCTAAAACAATCTTTTACCCATTTCAAGTACTCTTTTATCCAGAAACATGCATTAAAATAGCATTATATAGCCATGTGAATTTTTTAATCATAGTAA